ATGGTGTGCATGCTTCCCATTTCATGTATATCGGTTAATTCAACAAAACAATCTAATGTTTTGTCTTACTTGTGCTTTTCGATATCATCTTGCTTGAATGACAACACAAGAAACTTGGCCACCAAAAGTTGGTAGACTTCGAGATCAGAGGATTCCAAGAGGTGCTAGTAACCTTCATCATGGATGAGGTGTCGAGTGCAGACGGCTCATTCTCCATTGCACGGTCCACGAAGTACAAAAAACAATATGATAAAGACATGCTTGATAGACTATTGTAATATATACATTTTCTTTGTAACTGTAACATTTGTAATATAAATCTTGATGGATTTGTGATGTATGTGAGTGTAGTAACCAAAGGAAATGAATCGTACCACACAAAAATAATGAAATAAATTAGTAAATAACAATATTGGAAAAGTATACGACCGCCAGTTCACCACACAAGCCGACAGTGATTGTATGTACAACACTGCCGGCTTAGGTCTAGAGCCAGCTGTGTTAATTTGTGTGGTGAACCAGCAGAGATCAGACGTATATCATTGCGGGCTTAGTTGCTTAGTTGCTAAACTGATAGTGTTACTGAAATCAACACTGCCAGTTGGTGTGATGAACCAGCAGCGTTGCTTGAATCAACAACTGCTGGTTGGTGTTACTAACCGGTAGTGAAGATTGTTATCTCTGCCGGTAAAAAAACCAGCAGTGATATATAGAATCGGCACATCAATGCCGCTTTGGTACTGCGGATTCAAATTCCAGCAGTGATGGGGGCTTGAACCGACAGCAATGTCCTGGTGTGAGGTAGTGTTTGTGGTGTGGAGTCATGTCCTCCATGTTTGGCAACTGTATAGTTGGGACATGTGGCTTGTTGTGATGATGTGTTGGGGGTGTGCTGGTGAAAGCCATGCTGGTCTCTGTGTTGGCACCGATGCAGCCAAACCTTTGGGTGTCGTTTCTCTCTATGGAGGCAACATCATTGTGTTTCCATATCCTACCCCACTACTGGGTCTTCACCAAGTGCAAATTTTGCCCTGTCGATCGAAGCAAGCGGCGGCGGCGTGGACTATTACTGTATCCGTGTTGGATGTGACAGTTTGGAGCACTTTTGTGTGACTGTATTCACACAAAACACTGTAGTTGCCTAATTCAGAGTTGTCTACAGCCATTGCTATCTCGATCTGACATATTTGCACCGCTTATGTATATAAATGGAAGTGAGGATGCTTATACCTGTAGTTTTTCCTTGGTGGTTAGAGCTTCAAAGCTGCAGATGGAGTTGTTTCAATATTGCTAGATTGGATTTGGCTCATTACGGAAGAAGCTGTGAATGGAAGATTGCTCAAGCTGCATTTTTAAGAATTTGAATTTTCTCCTTTTCTTTCCATATGTTGTTTTTCTATGGTACAAAAGAGTCTAATGTTTTTGCCAGAATTCATTGTGCTACCTGTTTGTGGCACCGTTCGCTTCGCTGAAAAAACAAGCCGAAACATTGTTCTGGTTGATTTGTTGTGAGAGAAAAACACTGTTCTAGCTGAAAAAAATAAGCTGAAAAAGACGGATTATAAGAGAACCGAATAGGGCCTGTGTTTGTAATCACAACCGTGGCCTAATGTATCTTCGTTGTAGAATGTGTGAAGCCAGAAGCTTTCCATTATTAAAAAAAGGTTATAGCTACTCTTCATTGACATGTACCAAAATATTTCTAGAAATAAATAGGTGTCAGATCTGTTTGTGGCGACCTTTGCAGCTTCATAATGGACTAGATTATAAACGCTAGAGGCATTTACCATGACCTAGCGTCCGACTTCGGAAGGCATCCTCAACACCAACATCTTCATGAGTGGGAAAGGCTAAGCTTAGGCTGTTGAAAACAATGTGTATGGAATGTCACATTGGTCTTAGCTTGTAATGTTATTGGACTTGTGGAACGAATTGGACTTATGATGTGTATGTAATGATAAATTATATGCATTATATAATGGATATAATGTTTTGGTCACATTGTGGGCTTGTGGATACAATGTTTTGAATTATATATATATATGTTCTGGTCATATTTGAATTTTTTAAAATTTGAAATCTTTTTGGTGAGAAAGCGGACCGTAGGGACGGTTCTAGACTCAACCGCCTCCACAGAAAACAATTATAGGGGCGGCTGGCTTACAAGCCACCACTACAAATCTGATTTGTAGAATTTGTAAGGGTAGCTGATAGCCGCCTATGCAAATCAGATTTATAGGGGCAACTTAGGAACCGCTCCTACAAAATCATGTTGTAGCAACGGTTTCGTAGGGCCGCCTGGCCGAGCCGCCCCTACGAATCATTACTGTAGTAGTGAGCTAACATTAGTTATTTAGAACAAATTCTCACTGCAGAGAAATCAAACACAAGATCAGAACAATGCCTGACCCAATCTCTGATTCTTGCAGAAATAAATCAACAATTAAATAAATTACGCATGATTGATATAACAATGTAGTTATAGATAAATGGCTTAGGCCTTATTTGGAATTATTATTTGCTAATAGTTAGCTGGCTAATAGCTCATATCTAATATTAACTAGCTAACTATTACCTACCTATTAGCTGGATGGTGTTTGAATTCATAGCTAATAAAAAATGCTACGATAACTAATAGCTGCTATTAGATTTCATCTAACTAGTGAGATAGTTATTATCTAGAGATCTAACTATCAATTAGCTATTTTATTAGTCGTACCTGTTTGGATCTAAAAGAAATAACTATTAGTAGATAGTAAAAGGGTTTTTTTGATGCACGCCATTGTAATTTTTGAAGTTGAAAAATATGTCATTACAATTCGTTTATTTGGAAAACTGCCATTATAATTTAATCTCTTCCTAATCCACGCCATTTTGTACACCTCAAACGTATATGGTTCCACTTTCAGACCCGTATGCCTACAGAAACGTGTATAGGTGTACAGGAACGCGTGTTTCACTACCGGCGAATTTTAGTCGGCAAACAGACTTTGCCGAGTGTTTTTTGTCGAACACTCGGCAAAGACTTCGCCGAGTGCCGAAAAAGCACTCGGCAAAGATTTACACTCGGCTAAATAAAAATACGAAAAAAATCCAAAAATAATAGCAAAAAAACCCAAATTTTTTTTTCGGGGGAGGCCGCCACCGGCCAGCACCCGCCCTTCTCCATCGAAGTCGCTGCACTTTTTGCGCTAAATTCGCGGCTAACACGCCCGACGGGATTCGAACTCACGACCTCTCCCTCGCATGTCTGCTGCTCTACCACTGCACTACACTGTCACTTGTGTCTAGATTCCGTTATCTATCCTCATATATTATACTAAACTAAGAGTAAATTGCTTGTTTGAGGCCCTAAATGAATTGAAATAAAAAAGTGGTCAACTACAAAGTTTCATAACTTTTCGAGATCTACAATTTTCATTTAGGAAGTTTTTCCATCCGAGGTCGTTTGAAAAATTCAAATTTCAAATTTGAGAGATTCAAACGTAGTTTTACATGATAAGATGATTTCAAATCAAAAAGTTGTCAACTACATAGTTTCATAACTTTTCGAGATCTACAATTTTCATTTAGGAAGTTTTTCCATCCAAGATCGTTTGAAAAATTCGAATTTCAAATTTGAGAGATTCAAACGTAGTTTTATATGATAAGATGATTTCAAATCAAAAAGTTGTCAACTACATAGTTTCATAACTTTTTGAGATCTACAATTTTCATTTAGGAAGTTTTCCATCCGAGGTCGTTTGAAAAATTCAAATTTCAAATTTGAGAGATTCAAACGTAGTTTTGCATGATAAGATGATTTCAAATCAAAAAGTTGTCAACTACATAGTTTCATAACTTTTGGAGATCTACAATTTTTATTTAGGAAGTTTTTCCATCCGAGGTCTTTTGAAAAATTCAAATTTTAAAATTTTCAAATTCAAACGTCGTTTTTGCATGACAAGATGATTTCAAATCAAAATGTTGCCAACTACAAAATTTCATAACTTCTCAAGATCTACAAAGTTTATTTTGGTCATTTGTTCATCCGACATAGTGGTAGTAACATTGTTCACAAATCTTATATATATCTCTTCTACTTTCATAAAACTAATACGAGATATATGAGAGATGTAGATTTTATGAACAACGTTATTGTCGCTTTGTCAAATGAAGAAATGACCAAAATAAACTTTGTAGATCTTGAGAAGTTATACAACTTTGTAGTTGAAAAGTTTTTCATTTGAATTCATTTAGGGCCTCAAAAATTGCTTTGAAAAACTAATTTGCCGAGGGCCAAAAAAATGCACACGACAAAATGCCTGTTTGCTGAGTGCCAAAACAAAGGCACTCGGCAAAATACATTTTGCCGAGTGCCAAAACAAAGGCACTCGACAAAATACATCTTTGTCGAGTGCTAGAAAAAAGGCACTCGGCAAAGACGCATTTTGCCATGTGCCAAAAAATAGCACTCGGCAAAATACATCTTTGCCGAGTGCTAGAAAAGGCACTCGGCAAAGACGCATTTTGTCGAGTGTTTTTTTTTGCCGAGTGTATTTTATTTGGCACTCGGCAAAGACCGTCTTTGCCGAGTGTCCGATAAAATACACTCGGCAAAGCCTCCGGCACTCGGCAAAGTGCTGGTTTGCGATAGTGTTTGGGTGGAGCGGCGCTCGCTCGTGGTGGGCAGCAGGCTCGCCCGCGGTGGCCAGCGCGCCAGCAAATCTGCCGCGCTCGCCCGCAGCGGCCTGTGCTATGCCTAGTGCGCTGTTCAGCTCCATGAACTGGTGGTAGCTGCTGGGGAACCTCCCCAAGAGGTGGAATCCTGCTCTGCTCTCGTCGACGTCGGCCTGGCCGACCTTGACGCCGTCGCTCACGAGCGCCGCGGAGGAGGCTGGCGGGATCCACGTGCTGGTCGAAGCGATCAACGACGGCCCTGCCATGGAGGAGTTCGCTTTCTAGCCAATGTCGACGACCCGACAGAAGAGCAAGGCGATCGAGGATGGCCCTACCAGGAGATGGAGTCACCCATGGGCCACGCGAACCTAGAAGTCCAGATCCCGGAGGAGGAGCCACAGGAACCAACGGGCGAAGGCGCAGTGTTGGTAGCTGTGAATGGCGCCGCCGCGGCAGTGGAGACCACGGTCAGGATCGCCAAGGTGACGCTCCACTGTCCCGTCTGCACGGTCGGGCACCTGGCTTGCGGCGTGTGCCATCTGCAGCTCACCGGCAGCGGCGCCGGCCGCTGCTACGTGTGCGGCCACGACAGCGGCTACGCGCGCATTAGCAGCGCGATGGAAGACATCGTGAACTCGGCCAAGCCGCCAAGGTGCTATGCTCGCACGACGCGACCGGGTGCTGCAACTACGTTACCTACTAGGCTACTACGACGGCACGACGTGGCCGAGCACCAGCGCGCGTGCCCTGCCTCTGCTCGGAGCCCGACTGCGGCTTCGCCGGCCGGCTCCCCAGCGACGCTCCGCGACCACCTGAGCGCCGAGCACTCGTGGCCCGTGGACGGGATCAGGTACAGCGCTGCCCTGCAGCTCCGCGTGCAGCACTCAGACCCGGCGTAGCACCGGCGTCTGCTAGCCGCGATCAACGAGGACGGTGGGGACGCGGGCGTGTTCTTGCTGGCCGTGGGCGTGGTCCGCGACAGGCCGTTCCGCGTCGTGTTGCTGGTGTGCGCCCGCCCTAGCGCCGCCGCGGCGGCGGGCCCGTGGTACACGTGCACGATCCGCGTGGTGCAGCCCTCAGACACGGCAGCGTGAACGAGGAGCGCGGAGAGCGTGCTCCTGGTGATGGCGCCGGTGCCGAGCAGCGCAGCGCCCGGGGAGAAGCCGGTGATCAGCGTCAACATCGAGCAGCTGGGGAGAAGGCCGCCGCTCCCCTCACGCGCAGGCCCCCGCGGGCGAGCGCGGCCCTTCCGCTCGCGCGCTAGCCGCCGTGGGTGAGCGCCGCCGCTCTGTCTGACGCGCTGGCCGCCGTGGGAGTGAGCTACTCCACCCATACACGAGTTTCTGTATACCTATACACGTTCATGTACTCATACACATCTAAAAGTGGGCCTATGTACGCTGGAGGTGTACAAAATGGCATGATATCATAAATGGCAACGCATACACATCGATGAGAGAGAGATAAAATTATAATGACAGTTCTCCAAATAAATAAATTGTAACGATGTATCTCTAAACTTCAAAAATTACAATGACGTGGATCAAAAAGGCCATTATCTATAGGATCCAAACAGAGACTTAATAGATTAGATATAGATGTATAAAGATAGAATGAATTAATGACTAACTAGAGATAGACAGATATTTTATTTAAACATTTCTATGAATAAAAAATAATCACACAGCTCTAAACATTTTTATGAATAAAAAATAATCACACAGCTCATCATCATAGAATAAAAAATGAAAAATAATGTAACGGTCCCGCAAAACAAGCTGGTGAAGGTGGCACCTGGTGATGGCCATGACGCATGAGTAAGCGTTGTACGTGCTATATGCCTGGACCCACACGTCAGACACCCTCTGTTATTCCACTGGCTTGCGAGAAACGTGAGGGCATCAGCCGACGTCCGACGAGCAGCGTCGTGCCCTTCCGTTTCTTACCGCCGTCGCCGGCACCTGCCGCAGCACTACTCGCTCTCCTCTCCCTCTCGTTCAGATCCAGATCCATACTGGAGCTCCACACACCCGCCCGCCGCCGCCGCTGCTCATTTCCGACGTCCTCGGTAGGCTGTCCTCGGGGTGTCGGCCGGGGGCTTCGAGATGGCCGGTTTTGCGGAGGGTTCAGCCCGTGCTGGCTCCTCTCGCGGCTGGAGATCAGGAGAGGGGACGAGCAGTTGGACGACGGAACCGGTGGAGATCCCCAAGAAATGCTGCTTCAAGTGCAAGGAAGACGGCGACCCCCTCATAGCCTGCGACTTCAAGTAAGCGCGCTGACTCTGGCTGGTGAAGTGGTTTTTTCTTCCAGTCGTCTGTCGTCTCCGCGTGCTTTATTTGCCGCGATCTATCGATGTGTTGTGTTTTGCTGATGCTGCTGCCGTGCCTTGTTCCGCCGTCATGTTTCTGATGTATATGCTCGCCGACGGCGATGCATCCATGCATGCAGCTTTGCTGCCATGGGAACACCATCTGTTCTCTCCCATTTTACAGATCTGACACCTTTTTTTTCCCTCTTGATACTTTCCAGGAACTGCCCTAAGCTTTACCATCCGGTCTGTGTGGGAATCGAAGATGATCCCTGCAAGCAATTCATTTGTGGTGAGAACTGAGAAATACTGATTTTTTATACCACCCGCCTGTTTAATTTTCATGTCATGGATGCATCGAGCTGAGTTTGACTGATCTTTCCATCATTTTTGGATGGGGATTCAGCATGACATAAGTGTGGCACGCTCACTATGACCACTGGATTATTCGGTGTAATGTGGCTTATTGAAACTGTAATTATCACTTTCAAGGGAGATAACATTTTTCAAATTATTTCATTGGGAGCATATATACCCCTACACTTTTTATGTTTCGATAAGGGGCAACTACTATGAAGTTTTCACTTCTAACAGTGGGTGGTAGATCCTAGTGACATGAGACCATAACGTAGCGTTTGGTTAGGAGTCAAGGTGAGATGGTCCCGTCTCTGATTTCTAGGACGGAACGGCTCTATTTTCTGTTTGATTGACAAGAGACGGGATCGACCCATTTTGTGTTTGGTTGAAGGGATAATAGACATGGGATGGATGGTGAATTTAATGCCGTTAGCTACCATTTAGTGGGACCCACCTGTCATCTGGTTTTATTGACATTATCCTCCCAGCCCTCCCTCTTTTCATTTCTTTTTTTGTCGACCTTATCCTCCCATCCCACCTTTTTTGTCTTATTGTTTTTCTCATCGGCGTTATCTTCTCGGACGCTTCGAGTGGCCTCTGCTAGCCCACGCCACTGGAGGTGCTCACGCGGCTGCCCCCGCGCCGCCCAGGAAGACCTCGCCCACGCGGTCACACCCACGCCGCCGTGTCGCCTGGAGCCCAAGGATGGATGCCGCACGCCACCACCTGGGGCGCCTCCTCCACGCCCAACCCTCGTCCGTCTGGCTGCTGCCCAGCCCAAAGCTCGCCGCCGTCGAGCCATGGCCGATCCAGCTCCTAGGAAGGCATGTCCACGTCCTCAAGGAAGACGGCGGGCGAGACGGAGAAGAGACGGCGTTTGATGGGATCGACCCCATCCCATCGATTTCAAGGGACGGGGGGCGCCCCGAATCTTGCCAAATATTCTGCTCGGGGATGGATCCGCCTCTCGTCGCCCTAGAACCAAACACGAGGCGAACTGGGTTTATCCCATCCCATCTCACATGATCCTCCCAACCAAACACACGGTAAGAGTGGGAGGGAGAAGACCGACACTTCCAAGATCGCCGGCGTGATGGAGGCAAGGAGCCATGGTGATCTCAAATGAGGGTGTCCTGGGAAGTAGCGGAGCAGGGGCGACACCAGCATCTGTCATCCTGCTTAACTTGCCCCTTGATACAAGATTTCCTTTTAATCTAATCTAGGAAGTCCCCCTGGCTACAGCCCCCCTTCTTCGACAGTTGCTGAGTCGTGGGCACGACCACGATCTCTGGTGTTGCTTGCCCGACGCCCTCCTTCTCTCCTCTTCCTTCTTTGGTACCCAATACTGGTCGTAACGTCTCTCCACTCTTGTTGAAATAGCGTGTCCTCAAGCTAGAAGGCTGGGTAGTAGTCACTAAAACGCTGCACTGGCTCCCAAGTTGCTTCCTCTGCTGATATTCTGGCCCACCGTACTAGGACATGCTAGACTCCCCACGAACACTTGCATGAAGGACAAGTTCCGGTGTGGGTAGCAAGCACCTATTCTCCATGGCTAGCAGTGTTGGTTTAGAGCTTGGAGTAGCACCATGGAACATCTTTAGGACACCAACAAGGAACATATCGTGGATGGGGGCATTCTTTGGCAGTGTCAGGCGATAGGCCACTTTCCTAATCCGCTCCGTGATCTGAAAGCGTCCTGCATAGCGCAGACTCAACTTACCATCACGACGCGCCACCAATGTATTCACTTGTTTGTTTATGAGCCGCAGCCATACCCATGCCCGAACTTGAACTTCAGCTCCGGATGGTACTTATCATAGTAGTGTTTTACCTGTTGTTGCACTTGCTACAGCTGAGCACGGATGCCCTCCAAGAATAGATCTCATTCCTGGAGCATAGTTTCCACTTCCAGAGTTTGTGCAATGCCCGGTGTGTACAACACAATTTGTGGCGGTTCCCTACCATAGACTACCCGGAATGAAGTGTCCTTGAGAGCGGTGTGGAAGGGCATGTTGTAGCAGTACTCTGCCCATGGTAGCCAGTCTAGTGATGCACCTAAGGTACATAGCAATTGTCCTATTAACTACCTTAGATTGCCCATCGGTTTGTAGGTGGAATGCTGTCCTCATACTCAACTGCACTCCATCCATCTTGAATAAATCACGCCATAAGTATCCTATGAACATGGGATCCCACGATCATAGACAATCTAGGACGGGAACCAATGAAGTCGGACAATGCTCTCAACGAACACTTTCGCCACCGATGCAGCAGTGTAGGGGTGACCGAGGACAATGAAGTGGGCATACTTCGAGAATCTGTCCATGACTGTGAGTATCACCAATTTGCTGTGCAACTTTTGAAGCCCTTCAACGAAGTCTTATGATATGTTTGCCCACACCTATGATGTTATCGACGGTGACTATAGGAGTCCAGCTGGGTGTAATGTTTTTTTGTCTTGTTCCGCTGGTAGTGTAGTACATGAATTGATGAAATGCTTCACTAGAGCACGATCCCGATCGACGTAGAAACTGTTCTGGAGGTGCTGGAGTGTTTTCTGGACACCCTCATGTCGTGTACAATATATAAGCCATTTCCATTGAAGTGTGCATCAAACAAGAGGATAAGTCAATGAAGACCCTGTTTCCATGGAGGACGTACTAGACCCTCATGAATGCGCCAAGGAGGCCCCAAGTCACCACACACGATCCTCTGATGGGCTTGGATCATGGCCACTGCGTTTTGTACCTCCTGCCTGATGTCATCGTAGAACTTGAAGGAAGGTTCAGACAGCTCAAACACATGCTGCCAATCTCGGAGTCTCAGCGTGAGGGCATTTGATACTATTTTCTACCGGCCTAGTCGGTACTCCACAGTGAAGTTGAAGACAGATAGCTTGCTGATCCATTGATGTTTGGGGACCATGGAGAGGCGCTGGTCAAGCATATACTTCAAACTGAAATGATCAATACGGACCAGGAACCGTCGTCCCCACAAATATGGCCTCCAATATTGCACTGTATGCACCAAACCGATCAACTCGTGTTCGTAGAATGCTAGCTTTGAGGTGTCGGGATGCAAAAGGTCAGCTAAGAACGCTAGTGCCCCGGGGCCTTGGTGGAGGATGGCGCCAAAGCTAGAGCTTGATGCATCATAGTCCACCGTAAACATCTTGTGAAACATGTTGTTAGACCGCTTCGGACTGCCACAGGAAGCCCTCCTTCTTCAACAGCT